CCCTCTGGAATGACCTCCCCGTGAAGATCCGGACCCTCACCACCCTCCCGGCCTTCTGCAAAGCCACCAAGTCCTGGCTGCTCCAGCAGGCTGGGGGGCTTGTGAAACATCCAGCCCCACGGAAACTGTGAATGTTGCATATTTTAAATTGTTGTTTTTGTCTATTTATCCCCCTTCCCTTGTTTATTGTGAGCCGCCCAGAGTCCTTCGGGAGGGGGCGGCATACAAGACAAATAAACTAAACTAAACTAAACATGTATTTTTTTCGGTATTTCTTGCTTTGTTATCTTCCACCCTTGTGACACTTCACCTTTTTTTAAAAAAATATTTATTTCAAGAAAGTTGCATTAAGATGAGATTTTTAGGAAGCAGAAATCCTATATGGGACATTTTCTAACATATTTAGGGAATCAAAACATGTTTGCAGTTTTAATAATATGCATTTTTGTTCTTGAATAATATGCATGTTCATTGTTTGACTGTATATTTTTAAAAAGTATTTTGGAATTATATAACTAAGCTTATTCAAGAAATATTAATTTTGTTACTATTATTCACAAATTTTGTAATATTTCAATGTAGTCTAATAAGGATGATTGAATTTTAGTTTTTTAGAGAGTAGTATATTACATGATGAACTGATATTTTTAAATATACAATGGCAGTAACTATATTCAACTACACTAAAAAATTGAAATTACAACATGCTAACTTCTATGGATGAATGTTATTGCATTTAATCTTTTTTAAACCAGTACTATACACAATGGTTTCTATATTAAGTGGTTTTTTAAAAAAACATAATATATTGAGTATTTTAAAATAGAAATCTTTCATTTTAATTTATAACTAAGAACTATAAAACTTTAATCTTTTTGATTATATGTCATCAAGTCAGGGTTAATTCGTAGCAACCACCTAAGGTAGATTTTCTCCATGACTATCTGTGTCTAACCTAGTTTTTCAATAATGCAACCATCTCCATTGCAATTAAGTCCTTTCACCTTGTTTTATACTTGGTACTGTGTCTTTAAATACACTTAATTAAATACATCCATACAGGACCAATTAAATGTGTACTGCATTATAATGTAATGTTTGAATTTAATTAAAGAGGTGCGGTGGCTCAATGGCTTTAAAGATGCTGGAGAAGGTCTGTACTCTAGCGGTTCAAGTCCTACTACTGCATGACAGAATGAGCTCCCATCACTTGCCTCAGCTCCTTACATGCTAGCAATTTGATAGTATATAATGCGGTGGGAAAATAAGTGTTTCTGTGTTTCGCCACATGCTCTCCAATGCAGTGTGATGTCATGCTGGTCACATGACTACAAAAACATATTCAGACAGCACTGGCTCAATGGCCTAGAAAAAGAGATGAGCACTTCCCCCTAAACTTGGCTATGATTTATGGACAAAACCCATAGGTTTCAAAGGTTTTAAAACCTTTTGTAAATATTACCTTTACTTTATTATAATAAAAAGACTGGGAAAAAGAAAAAAAAGAGCAGGATACACATAACACATGGATTATTAATTCTGATTATTTCAAAAGAAGAGTAGAGAGAGAAAAGTAAAGTGGTGTAACTTTGTAGTGAAATATTCTTCATATTCTGCAGTAGATTCAAAAAAACCTATTCTGAATTATTACAATTAGCTAATTAAAGAAACTTATTATTACCTGAAACATTTTCAGCCATTCCTGAAGCCCAGTTGGCGGTTGGATAGATGTAATGCGACGACGTTGCTGTCCTTGACCATTGGCTGCTCTCAGATCTCCAAATGTAGTTGGTGTTGCTGAACAAGGCACAAGCCCAGTAGTGCTATGGCAGAAAAAATAATTAATTCAGATTCCAGAAATATTTATTTCTAATATAAAATTTCCTTTAGCAAGCTCAATTCTAATTATTTAAGCAAATTTCGTTATTATTAGCATGCTTTACCTAATCCCATCTCTTTTACAAATTCAACGTTTTGATAGTTTATAAGGCTATGAAACTTCCAAAAAGCTGTATTTAAACCCTATAAAATTAAAATGTGAATCAAGTTTAGCTTAATTTATTTAATGGATGTTATCCAAAAACAAGGAATTTGAAGTATTATTTTAGATGTATCAAAGAACTTACACTGATTCACTAGTATTTTTCAGCTTCAAATTACTTTACATCTCACAATCCCTGGTGTTTATATATCAGTTTATAGTCATCTGGGCATTGCATGGTAATATGCTGAATCTTAGCCATAAAACCTCAAAGTGAATTCATGTAGAAAGTGCAAACAAAAATAGAACAAAAACATAGCCACTGAGAATTAAAGAGAGCAACACTATAGACATGAAACTTGTTTTTTCATAAACAAACAAACAAACATGCCCCCTCCAGATGCACACTGAAATGCAAAAACAAATAAACCAATAAAATTTGTGAAAACGTGTCAGGAAAAATTAGTATGTCCAGTTATCATGGAATGATGACCATCCACTGAAACAGAGTAGTAAAAACAGTAAGGAGTAAAATATCCTAGTTGAGTTTTTTATAGCTTATAGTATGCTCAGAAAGACACAGAGGGCTGGCAATACTACCCAAAGTAGAAGCATAATGCAGAAATATTTTATTGCATCTTTACTTGTGAATAATTAATGTAATAATTAATTAATTGACCATATCATTATGTAACTGGACCACTGACTAATTCAACTTTCTTTTTTTCCTTCTCCACTTTATAGCTATCCAATCTGTTCTGGATTGTCCAGAAAATATAATTTTAGAATTATCTTTATATAAATATTAATCAAAACTAAAAATAAAATTGTAATCATCTTCCAGGTTAAAAGTACAGGTAGTCCTCTACTTATGACAATTAAGCCCAAAATTTCTGTTGGTGAGACATTTGTTAAGTGAGTTTTGGCCCATTTTATGACCTTTCTCAGTTTTTAATTGAATCATTGCAATTGATAAGTTAATAACCCAATTGTTAAGCGAATCTGGCTTCCCCATTGGCTTTGCTTGTCAGAAGGTCGCAAAAGGTGATCACATGACCCTGGGACACAGTATAAATATGAACCAGTTGCCAATATCTGAATTTTGATCACATGATCATGGGGATGCTATAAAGGTTGCAACTGTGAAAAATGGTTATAAATCACACTTTTCATTGCCATTGTAACTTTGAACGGTCACTAAACAAGCTAGGAAAAAATGCAAGTTTTAAAATAATTTTAACCTCTATGGTATGTTGTTGATTACAAGCATATTCATATGGACTTGCCTTTGAACAGACTGAATTATAAAAAATACATACAAAATGTTTGAATAGCAGTAATTTTTGCTCAGAAATTCAAAGCTTAAACTCAGTTTTTCTAATCAGTGCATTTATTGCTAACATACATTTGAATACTGAGCCGCTGATTTATTTCCTTCCTGGTTCTTCTAAGACTTAATTACTATATGGCTAAATATTTGAAAAACATTTGTGTAGGAATACTAAAATGTATTTAAAAGAAAAACGGCGCTATGGTTTCTATTTTCAAGTATTTCTAGCTAGAAGGACTTCAGGAAGTAGGGCTAAGGAAAAAAACCTTCTACTTCAGAGACTACGGTTACGGAGGCCAGAGGTCAAAAATATTCTAGATCAGGAGTGTCAAACATCACGTGGTGTATCAGGACTTTTCCCCCCTTTCCTAACCTGGGCGGGGGGGGGAGAGCCAGCACATGGATGCGTCTGATTTGCGGGCCACAAGTTTGACATCCCTGCTCTAAATGGATCAGTTAACTGCTTCAGTGTATAAGATAGCTTTTTGTGTTTAACAGCATTATTTTATCATTTTTCATTACATTCTCCCATTGAAAGCAAAATTAGGATCTAATGTCTAATAAGGATGATATTACAGTGCAAATTATTTGATTTTTATAGTTAAATAAATTTAATAATAAATAAAATAATCTTAAGATTATAAGAATTCATTTGTATTAACTACTTTCATTTGCCTAATAAAAATTCATGCATTTTTTTATTTCATGAATACGTGTTACTAAATGATATGAAATCAATTCCAAATATTCTGTCAGTAATTCAAATCCAAAAAGTAACATTGCCTCATAATAACATTGTGTTCAAAAATGCATTCTTTTATAGGAGTATCTATATCCTCCCCCCAAATAGAAACAATTAAAACCAATTATGCTAGAATGAAAAAGTTCTCATATTTTTAATGTTAACTTCAGTCTCAATTGGCTGGCTCAATATTTATCAAATGTATCTGCTGCCCATCTTGCAGTTCAGGAAATTCTGAGTATGGTAGATGATTTTTAAAAAATTTCTTAAGAATTAGCAGTGTTAAAGACATAATTATGAATAACATATACATGAATATATTTGAATGCATAAAGAATTTAGAAAAGAATTTATATTTCAATAATAGATAAATCGCCTGTTAAAAGCAAGTTTTACAGTGATGCAGATTTGTACATGACAAAATGCAGCAGAACTGTATTTAGTTGTTATGGCAACCAGTTAGTAGTAAAGCTGAACTGAATGCACTGATACTGAAATTCCTGGCCAAAAGAAATTAAAGGGTTGATAAACTGACAAGGCTGGCTCATGATGGATGTATGTTGCTTTAATTTATAAATGGAACTCCACACTCTGGTATGGTTATAATTCAATGAGTCAGAAAGTATCATGCTGTTGCATGCAAGAATGTTATGATTAGCATCAGATATATTGTCAATTCTATATTCCAAACAATCCAGTAAACTGTTAAGTGTCCTGACCTGCAAGAGTCTTTGGATGGAAACAGTGCTATTAAAGTCTTATAACCCATTATTTCTAATTCAGAATTTAAAAAATTATGTAGTTAGCACTTAAATGTCAAATTTCGGTCCTTTGCAGAGAACTGAATTTTAGTTTGAGTGTAAACATGAAATAGGTGCCTGGACAGCATATGATAAAGTATCTGAAAACAGATGACAGTTTATTACAGCAAATTACCTTGTATATTCTGAGACTTTACAGGGTTTCTTTCCCAGTGAAAAAGAACGGACCTCCGAACCATGGTCTAACTTTCTTTTCATCTATAAAATGGGACAAGGGAAAAGATGTTAGCTTACCACCTTAAGGTAGAACTGTAATAAACAATTTATATTACTTTTGGGGGGGCGGGGAGAAACCCTCTTTTTATTGACCCGTTAGTCCCTTTGAATGACCACTCTCTTTTATAATTTAAAAAATACAACATAAATAATTCCAACAGTTCAACAACCTTCTGTGCATGCCACAGTTATTAGACTTCGAGAATATTTGCTATATTTATTGCTACATGCTTATACATTATAATTTGTCTTCTATAATCTGGTTACATAGATTTACAAGTACTAGCTTTTTAAATTGCTCAGAATGAAAAAAAAATGCATACAAATACAAATGATGAAAATAAAATGAGATCCCCATTGCCCCCACTTTAATAACTTTCTGAAAAGGATTAAAATATGCTTATTCTACCAAGCCTTGGAATTGGATGGTTATGGAAGTCCTAAGGTTTTGTTTTAGTTTTTCAATCAGCTGTATTCTTTTGATATTTGGTTTTTTTTTTGCTATTTCTTTTTAATTGTAAGTTGTTTAGAGTTCGAGGATTCCTATAACTGAATGAATAAATATATGAAAAGGTTCTTGCATAATTCTTTGGGAAACATTTTATGAAAAGGAATCAAGGACATTAAATTCCTTTTCTGTGAGATTTTCTTTGCACTTCTAACTCCTTTTGACAGCTTTAATAAAACTATTTTTTCCTAATCCGAATAGTGTGGGAGGGGAGTGTGAACGTATGAAGATTTGACTCCAACTTCCAGAGAATATTTTTTAAAAGGTTTTGTTTTAAAAGTAAATCTAAAAAGAAAAAGAACCCAGTAATCAACATATTGAGTCAAACAAATTATTAGTACACGGAGCGATTTTTAGAAACTTCTAAGGAAGCAATTGAAATTAAAACTGTGTGCAACAATTTTATAAAATACAGTTTCATTACTGTATGAAATTACTTAGAACAGGTTTATTAAAATCTATTCAAATTTCAATTTGAAAAGCAGCCATGACTTGCTACAGTGGCTAAGTAACATAGCATATATGTTTGAGCAGAATGATGAATGTAGAAATCAATGGATTTTATTATTGTAGATATTTTAAATAACTGCTATCATACCAATACTAATTTTCATATTGGTTTTTGAAAATAGCCTTTGTAATGTCCAAGGTACACTGCCCTTCAAAGCAAATTATACTTATTTTTTCTATTAAATGGATATACATTAATTATTGAGCTGGTACTGGTGCTTTGGTAATGATAACAAAGATACAGTAATTTTTTCCAAGGCTTTAAAATGTACTCATCGGCTTTCACCCAATGCATTACATTTCATTTTGGACAATATTCTATGTAAATTGTTCTGCATATTCATTTCACTTTCTCAGTATTGAAACTGTTCTTATACTTAACCTATCTTATGATTCTGGCTCATATGGAGCAGAACTCTGCATGTTACCAAACAAAACTAAAAACCAAAATGAGAAAACAACCTTCTTTACAAGCATGCCTCTTCTTTAAAACACGACACAAAATAACAGAAACCATATTTTTACCCATGTGCAGGAGAATAAGGAAACCACTGGAAAAGGATTCCTCATATTACTATGGACCAACCCCATATTAACATTAACATGTTTATTCAGGATTTTTTTTTCAATCTTTAATTTGATTTTCCTACGGGATAGCAGTAGTAAAAAAAGGCGTTCACAGAAAAGATTTCTTCAGGCAAATTTTGGTAGTCAGAGCTGTAACATAAACTCCCACTTTAAACACAACTTCATTGTCTCAAAAGTACACGATATATTCAAAACAGTTTCTATAGTTGCCAAAGAATGTTATCAAACTCTAATTTTCCTCAATATTTGTATTATAAACTTTTTCTATCCCTATTTAATCTAGATTGTGAAATATGCAGTAGCTCTGCAATGCACACTGTATTAAAAAAAGATCGTAATAAATTATCATACATCATCTTATAAAGAAGTTTATTCCCTCCAGAGTAATCTAATGCAGAGCTACTACATAATGTAAAACATAATTCATAAATACTCATGAAAACATTTGAATTTTATAGAGAAGTATTACATAGTATTAGCATTATTATTTGAAAGAACAGATCCTGAAGCCTGTTTTCTGCACTGCTACTGGGAATGCACCAGGCACATCTTTAAAATTCCTCCCTGATGCAAATATTTACATAGAAGCAATAGAATTATGTTTTTCAAGGGAAGCAGCATTAATAAATACTTTTGTGAAGACGATATGCAAAAGAGAATAAGGAGGGGAAGGTCTTCTTTTTTAAAAAAAAGCTTAAAGTGCTGAGCTGAATGTGAAGACCCATTTCAGTCGAAGGTAAATAATTTGATCTTCCCCTGGTTTCTCATGCTGATTTTAAAATAAAAGCATTTCGCATCTCACTGAGCCTTTTCGCTATTTGCCTTTATCCAGCACACAGAATTTTAAGCATCCAGGCAACCCACTAAGAGGGGGGGGGACCTCGGAGATACTGCAGCCATCTACAATGATACGGATTTTTCCTCCCTTCCTCTTCTGCCTANCCCCCCCCCGAAAGACAATATGCAACTTTTGGGAAGCTAAATGCCAACAACATTTAATCTAAATTATTTTGAAACAGTTGCAAAGCTTCAAAAAAAACTACAAAGAAAAAAATAACCATAACAAAAAGCAAGTTAATCAATGAAAAAAGTCATTGGTCTTGCAAGCATTTTTATTTAAGTTAAGAACTACATTATTAAATCATAGCAGTTTTCATCTTCCAGACTTTTTTAACACCAATTAACAGTGTTATGCTGAAAATATTGAGGACTATAATTAGTTAGGAAATGCTTAAGGGTGGCAAATAATAGATTATATAGTCAAACAGTAACCATAGCCCAATATTAAATAAGAATCCTCACCTCTTTGGGGAGCAAGGAAATGAAATCTCTTTGAAACTGGGGTTCGATCACTTGCATCATATGCTTCACTTGGGTAGGTTCACAACTATCAATCAATTCATCTAAGGCAAGCAACTTCTCCGGTCCACTCCAGCTCTGAGAGATACAAAATATACTTTTCATACTATTGTTTCAATACTTAGAAAATCTTTATAACGTTTGAAAACTGTTATAATGAACTCTTGAAGTAAAAAAAATATATTTATTCTTATTTTATTTAATCAATTCACTGATCAGCTATCTCCAATGGACTTAAGAGTGGAGTACAATTAATAAACAAAAAAACAGCAAGAAATATTAAATCAACAGGCATCCTAGACTGAAACACTGTTAACAATCACACAATATAAAACAGGGCCCATTAAATGTGACAAATATCAACCCGTTTGGGACTAGAGCCACGTTTTCAAGGCTTTCTGGAACCCTAAGAAAGATCACTAAAATTACTAAAAACCTAACAGTTAAGCTGAAGAGAAACAGTTTGGTATAGTGGTTAAGGAATAAGGCAGGCAAGAAACCAGGAGTTCATAGTTCTAGTCCCACCTTAATAACAAAGCCAGATGATGCCATTGAGCCAGTCACTCTCTCTTAGCCCTGAGAAGAAAGCAAGGGCAAACTACTTCTGAAATCTTGCCAAGAAAACTGCAGGGAGTTGTCCAGATAGACACTAGAGTCAATACTGACTCAAAGGCACAAACATAATAGTTATAGTTAGCAGAATGTAAGCAAAAACAGATGTGCAGTTATACAATTTTTTTAAAGTTTTAAATAAAAAGAAAACAGATTAAAACAGGTGTTCTGTATTCATAGTTTTCTGTTTTCATAGTTTTATTCATAGTTTTTATCTGTTATCTACAGATAACAATGTGATTAAAGCTGTACTCCTTTGTGTTTTTGTGTGACATCAACCCAGATAACAAAGGAGGTGACTACCATTTTGACTTTTTTGAGAGCTTCCCCCTAAATGTGGGTTAGGCAGCATTACAATCAGATGAATTCGTAACTGGCTGACAAACTGTACTTAACATGTAGTCCTTAATGGAACTCCATGTATATGGAGAGAAGCATGTAGTTGAGACTCTGGAGTGCAGAAAAGAACAACGATAATTAGGGGAATGGAGGTTAAAATGTATGAAGAATGGTTGCAGGAACTGGGTATATCTAATCTAACCAGAGCTGACTTGATAGCAGTCTTCCAATATCTAGGGGGCTGTGAGAAAGAAGAGGGGAGTCATTCTATTCTCCAAAGCATCTGAAGGGAGGACAAGAAGTAATGGATGGGAAATTTATCAAGGGGAAATCCAATCTAAAACTAAGGAGAAATTTCCTGACGGTGTGAACAATTACTCAATGAAATGGCTTGCCTCCAAAAGTTGAGGTTTTTAAGAAGAGATTGGACAGCCATTTGTACAAAATGGTATAGTGTCTCCTGCTTGAGCAGGGGATTAGACTAGAGGACCTCCAAGGTGCCTTGCAACTTTTTTATTCTGTTCTATTATTGATTCCTGTAGTTAGTTAGCAATGAAAAATGCTACGCGTTCAGTCTTTAAAATGTACTTCCTTAAACATTAGTCTGCAAATTATACTGATAAGCATAGATTGCTATATTGTATTATGATTCAACAATCAAAAAGTATCATTTGAGATTTAGGAGCACGTAATTTGCTCACTGACTGCAAATAAGGTCATTCTTATATGGACACAGAAAATAATTTAATGATATTTAAATCCCTGACGGTTAAGCATTTTATATGCTTGTTTTGACTGTATGAAAATTCTGCTGACAATTAGCTGTCAAAATTTCTGAACATGCAAGGTATTACTGAAATTACCTTATAATTAAGATACATATTAATGATTGAATCAGCTCACCCTTCTATACTCAAAAATAGGATTAACAATTAACAATCCTATTTAAAGTTTGGCACAATAAATAGCCTTCTCTTTATGATTACCCAAGTCTCGAATGTCCATTAAAGATGAACAATTATGTTTCTTTTGTATTATGGGAATTCTCTATTCAGGTTTACAAGTATGAGATATACTTTTGCCAGATCTGACTCTGTCAGTTAGTTCTGAACATCTCAGGAATGCTGGAGAGTTCCTCTATTTAAGCACCCAGGTTGCATTATACTCTGCTCACCTTGGAGATACATCTAGTACCTCTGGATTGTCACTCAATCCCGACAAGACCGAGTGGCTTCTGATGTTCCCTCCCAAAGATTGGCCAATTATTCCATCTCTCAGGCTGGGGGGTGAAATTATACGCCCCTCAGAGAGGGTCCGCAATTTGGGAGTCCTCCTGGATCCCCAGCTGACGTTAGAACACCATTTGTCGGCTGTGACCAGGGGGACCTTTGCCCAGGTTCACCTGGTGCACCAATTGCGACCCTACCTGGATCGGGAGGCCCTTCAGACAGTCACTCACGCCCTTGTGACCTCAAGACTGGATTACTGTAATGCGCTCTACATGGGGCTGCCCTTGAAGAGTGTTCGAAGACTTCAGCTGGTCCAGAACGCAGCCGCTCGAGCAATTGTGGGTGCACCCAGGTACACCCACGTCACACCTATCCTCCACGACCTGCACTGGCTACCCATTAGT